AGCATGGCCGGTGGTGCAGGATTAATCTTTCTTGGCGCGAAAATTAGGAAGTTTAAATTTTATAAAAATAATTACAAAAATAGAGAAAAATCGGGCGAGATAGTCACTTTCAAGGTGGAAAAGTGGTTCATGCATCAAAAGGAAAGCCTTGTAGTGGTGGAATTTGAACAAACGACCTTCAGTGGTGATCTGAACCTTCTGACCACCGCAAACGCGACCTTACACCCACTGGGAATTTGAAACGCAAACTTTTGGGATTAAAAGTTGAAGCTCTTTTTCCTGAACTGAGCAGTTGACGGTCTACAAGTTGATTAGATGGCTGTATGTACATGTCCGTGAAGCTCCTGGAAAGGGTGGCTTAACCCAACAGTGTTGTTCTCAACTAATGAATAGCATGACTCATGGTTTTGGTTGTCGCCCGCGCAGTTCATGGGTAACGGTTTCAGTCCTAGCCCGGAGTTTTTCTCTTTTGGTTAGGCCATAGAAATTAACGCGAGGTTCTGACTAGTCTCTAAAAGAACAATAACGCTGTTTGGTACGCTCTTTCTCGGTTATCAGATTGTTTTTTCTTTCAGTCGCTTCTGTTCATGTTCCCTGGTTGTTAAGGAACTATAGTCTAAACGAAGCACGCAAGATTCAGACTAAGATTGAGTCAGGGTTAGTGTGCACCTGGTCCCTTCGTGCTCCGTTCTATCACAGTGGTTTCCACAGTCATCATGCGACGAGACAGTTGGTAACCTATATAGTTCATCAAAACCAACTCATTTTTATTTCACTCAATCGCTTATCCCGATTAGTGTCATCTCTTTTACTTTCTTCCATGACTGTTAATTAGCATAATGAAAGAGGGAAATGTTTTCTATAAATTGTAAATGTGAAAACAGCGATATCAGTACGGGTTAAAATAAGCCGACGTTTCGGTTACCGAGGGTGACCTTTATCAAGGCGATTTTACAATCGAATCGCTGTGTTTTCATAATTACAACTTATATCAAACAAACCAATCACATGACCCATCGATTTTTCGATGCACTCCGAACGTCGTTCGTATCCGATACTATGAAAGAGGGAAATGCTTTTTGCAAGTTGAGTATCATTGCTTGTTTTCTCATTTCTAGATCAATCGAGTTCGAACAGAGTTGGATAGAAAGATCAGTGGATTGAATGCACGTGTAATGAATCAGGCAGAAAGGGCGTCCACACCAAAACGCAACTCCGAGTTGCCTCAGTCGGACATGAAGGGCGTGGAGGATCGGATGCGAAGCATGTAAGTCACGGGAACTTGCAAATCCAGAATCAAGTGTACCGTTTCGAATCAATGTTATTAACCAGAACAGTTCATGATTTACTTTTGAGCAACTTTCTTAAATGAACAGGAGAAGTTAGTTTCATACAGGAACCAATGGAATATATTCCAAAAACATGATCAACCAAGATCCCCAGTTTCATTGTACCATTTTCACGAAGACCTGCTATTCAGTGATGGAAACCGATGGAGTGGTCAACCACACAAGACCCCGCCAGGTTAGGCGTAGTATTGAACAAGACGAAAGCAAAGCTGCCTACGGCGATGGCGGGGCGCGAACCTCAGATATCATGCACACCGGTGACAGTGACGATATTGAGACATTTCGGTAAATCAAGCACGTAAAATGATGTTCTTCTGTTCGGTCACTGAACAGATTTTCTCCTACAATGGAATCTTTCGAGTTTTATCTTGCATTCGTACATACAGTGATATGCTCAACATAATTATCGGCCCCAAATGGTTGGCGGATTTGACCGACGGGAAAAATTGCCGTTAACCCAGAGAAAACTATGGCATTTTTCATGCACTGTTTCCTAAAGTTCACTGAAAATCTTCGAGCTAAGATAATTATCTGTTTCAGTTTCAGCGGCTACCAACTGTTTTCACGGATCGTACCTTCAAGATACTCGAGATAAACATCAACATTTGAATATTCCCAATGAAATGATCAATAGATTTGTTTTCTCTCACTGCACCACTGAATTAATGCACAACAACTTGAGACGGTTTTCTGAGTCCTGAAGCGCTATCGATTCATTTTAATTTAAACCAATAAATTTTATGGCGCGAGAAATGGCGGGAAGTTTGGATGTTCGATATCCTATCAGTTGGTTATAACTGTTTTTCAACTGATGTACTGTTTATTTCATGGTTTAAAAACTAGGGTTTTTTATGTTTGATGTAGGTAGTGCCCAAACTGTACGGGCCACCGTCACTTCATGAAAATCACAAGTTTGAACCCCAAGAACCTCGTCTAACTTTCATCTGTATCCCGGAGTAGCCGTTTATGTAATTGCTACCCGCATACGGAGATTTGGTTGTATAGTGATTTATCCAATAGATCGGCAGTAAAATATAATTACAAATGCTACTTTTCCACTTCTTCATTTTCTCTGAAACAACTATTCTTTATAAATGTTTTACCGTGCTTCGTTTCATGGAAAAAATGCTTGTTTTTTGTTAGTTAGTATTTGAGCTTTAGTCTTTGTGATTTACAGTGAAGATGATCACTCGGTATTATACAAGAATCTGCATTTATCATAAACCAGATGGTAGACATCAGTGAGCAATAATACTTTATCGTGCATGCATTTGTATCGGTAATTGCTGATTGACCTTTTGGGGCACACTAATAAGTTATGAATCAATTGATCAAGGTCTCTTTAGGAGAATTTATGAGTCCCTGCTTAGCAGCCACAGTGACATCCCTTGAGAGCGTAACACGACTCATCAATATGAATGGTAGAGAGCGGAATAAAATGTTAGAACAATCACCGATCAAAAGTGTAACACAAGATAAGATGTCCCAGTGATTCCGGCCCATAGAACACATGCAGCGTGAGTGAACCCTACTTCATCCTTCAAAGCTCATACCACATATTGTACTAGTGAATTTCTACGCGCAAACAAACCGCACAGAAATATGTCGATATAAATAATGTACGAGCAAACTTAAATCGTCACAGGACATGTTTTGATGATGAGGATTATGATGGTGATTCTCCTCTTAGTTCTAAACAAAATGAGGATTATTTGTAACGAGATGACTTTCACAAACTATTTGGCCAAACCACGGGCAGCTTTGAACCAATGGTCATTTAATTTCAGAGATTCATGCCCACACATCGTCTACTGAGGGAATACTGTTGGACAACGAATGAAAGCTAGAGGGAACGGACATTCAGTTGACTATGAATGGATGATGGAGGGGGATTTTGAAGCAGCAAAGGCCTAGGTGATATAGATGTAGAATGCATAGTATCCTGATCATGACTGTTTAAAAAAATCAGTAGCAACGGATAGCACTAATCAACAGATTAGATGCGCAAAAGATGTGTACTTTCTCACGAGGAACAAGCGTTAAAACAGCGCAACAAGAACTGAATTTGTTTCCTTACCAGCACACCATCTCAACACATTCTGCAATAGGCTTTAGAGGACAGTTTCATCAGGTTCACCATGTGGCATTGGCTTGATCCATTCCAGTTTGATAAATATTTGACACTTAATACGAATCAATGAAGCCTAAAGGATTGTTTTGATCTTCGACATTGAAACATTTGTGCTACACCGTCCTCTGAATCGTTCCCCAGGAAAGCCATTTTTCCATTTGTTTTAAATCTGCCAGTCAGTGTTTTACATGCTTATTATGTTTGAGGTCTTACTCTTACGATTAGATTGAGACAGACTCTGGTGTGCATGAAAACATGTAATAGACCAGAAGAATTAAAATACTCCCTTCAATGCAGTATGATTTGGATAGAATGTTCGGTAAACTGATTTCATCCTACTTGTATGGAGTTGTAAATGGAGATAAATTTTCCAAATGATTTGCAACTTTCTTATTATCAAAGCAATACAAAAGTGCACTGGTGGAAAAACAATTTGATTCGATAAAAGTACCGAGTTCTAAACTAATGAACATAAAACAAAAATGAAATGCTTTGTTTCCATAATGGTCTATGTATTATCTCTGCGCTCAGGGTTTATGCCACTCAGACCAAATTGGATGAACGATTGCAGGCTTTGACTGTCGAATTGAAACAGCTGGAGGCGGAAGTTCATGAACAGACGGCAAAGATGGCGATGGACCAGTGAGTAAAAGCCAGACCCTTTATGCCCTCAGCACAGATTTGGGGTACCCGTTTTTTGTTCAAATGATTTTACAGATTCATTTAGCAGAAGAACTATCCTTCATCAAATCGCAGCTATCACTGGTATTGCGATTTGTGTTTTGTCCTGAGGAAATTCGATCAAACTCTGCATACCTCATTCCCCCTCAATTCTTACCTACGGTCTATTGCACTAGTCACGGCAAAACGTATTGAGGGAATTGAAAATGCGTTGCTATGGTTTACCCTAGAAATTACTAATATCATAAATCATAACCTCCTCTTTGTTCCTGATTTCCGCAGCAATTCTGAACACAAATATGAATAGATAAAAAAATACGGTTTGATATCCGCGATTACTGGCATGTGTACCCTACAAACTTAAGATTTACTGTAATCAAAAAGAAAAAGGTGAACGAAAAATGATCCAGAGAAGTTAGGAAATTTATCATCAACAGAAGCTATCACTAATGGCTTGATCTGAGTTTGACTACTTCTCAGGAAGCCGTCGTCCAAAACTCTATCATAAAATCACTTTTACCAAAATGATTCTCTGGTAGTGATAAATTCATTTTAGTTGGCTTCCACAATNCACAATATGAAAGAAATGTTTTTGAGAGGTGATTAATTGTGTTAGCACGGAGCTCAAACAACCCGTCAGATCACGCACGCTCGCAACGATCCAGACAAGCTGATCCTAATTGGATCGATTCGATCGATCAATCGATATGCCAAGGCCACAGTTTGACTGGGACGTCCCGGGGCAGTCTTCTCGTATACCTGATTGTGCTATATTGTTGCGTATCGAAATCTAACTGAACGGATACACACTGACTGTGGTCTCAAGCTGTGTTCTCTCTTCACGTTATCGTGTGGGGTTAAGCGAGAGTCGCTCGTGTCATTCGCACGACTAGTCGAAACACAACAAATTGTTGGTAAGTAATATAATTCAGATTGGGGTTTACGGAGTGAGAAATGACAATCTTGCTGTTTCATTACACGGATGCCTCCTAGAACAACATTCAAAAGTGATTCTAAAAGAGTAGATTCATGAAAAGAACGGGAAACCTGACTACGTACACTAACGTAAAGAACCATTTCACTCGTATCCATAGTGTTGTTCAGATTAGGCTCATACCAATTGGTATCAATTGTTTCACTGATTAGAAAATAGTCCATTTCAATTGACAAGCTGTACTTTGCTTTTATCAGCTGTGGTGTTTTTATTACCACCGATGGGAAGCAACTCAGACAAACTGAGGGGGAATAAAAAAACCTCGACTGGAAACGGAGCTTATAAGTCAGTGCGTTTGTGTGGATACGCATATACATGCAACAAGAAATGAAGCAAACTTTAACGATGGTATTTTCGATGTAGCGTTTTGTTACCTCAGATGCTTGCGGCCCAGTTGCAATCAAAGCTGAAAGTCTTGAGTGTAGTGCCAAGAGAACCTTAAGTGATTGCTGAATAATTACGAGTTACGTTATATTTTGATAAACAATCATTCAAATAATGAAACAACAGAATTATCGAAAGGTATCCATTGAGTAACTCTGAGGTCTTCGTGGTGATCCATAAAGAAAAAGAGATGTCTATGTATTAATATGATCAAAGTCAAGGTGTATGTTTTGAAAACATGAATGAAACAACCAGTGATTTGGGAGACCAACGATAGAATCAATCAGTGATCGAACATAAACGGTAGTTCCCATAGCTTCAACTCCCTATCTGATTCTGCTGCATTTCACATACAGCACTAAGATTCGTACATCTACATTTTTCCGTAATAGACTGCTATCGGGAGTGAGCAGAAATGCTGGTGAATGGGATAACGTGAATGAACGAAGCCTGTAAATTACACAATGAGTTCATACAAACCACTTCTTTGAATCAGATATTAAGTGGTTTGAGCGTAACATATGAAACGAAGCTGTATGAACGTTTTCGATAGCGTGATACTTCAGCTTCATTCCCCAGTTCAGATTCGAACTCAGCAGTGCAAGCACCCTTGAGATTGTACATTGTGCTTTCTGTCTGCTAATCTGTTTGATATCTGACCTCGGTAGCGTCCATTCGCCGGGATAGATCTTATCGAGATTGAGGATGTTTCTAGTTGAAAGTCACATCTCAGTTTAAAATGTTTGTGGCATATGTGAAGTGGTCGCCAAGAGATTTTTCGAGCAATCTCTGTTTCTTTCATAATCTTTACTTTAAAATCTATCAAGTTCCAGAGTCTGGACTGCTAATATAACTTCACAATTTGAGTGAATGTAAGCTCATATGAAGTCCGTGTTTTCTTTTATTCTTTCTAATATTCTGAAAAAAGCAATAAGCAGTGCTGTTTCTTCATGTTTCTAACCTTGCAAAAAATGTAATAAATATTCAGAAATCTTCATATGTATCTCGTTGGAATGGGCTATCAGTTATGCAGCAAATTAGTATGTCACTCGGAACATCTGATAAACCCAACGTTCTCACATATTATATTTCAGATGTCACCCACTGAATCAAATTCTTCGCCATGCACAAGGTCTACATTTACCAAGCTTTACCGAAAATAATTCATGCGAAAATCTTTCGTCGTTTCAATCAACGTGTAACTGGTATATCGGTTTTTCAGGTTAGGATTTCGGAAACTGTGCAATAAAGTTGCCCAGGATGTGTCAACTCAACTGGGTAAGAATGAGTCGCGGATACCCCAAGTGACACGTTCTCACGGTCATACATCACGCGCAGTGAGTATACCTTTCTTTTTCTGTTATGTCACTAATTCAATCTGTAAACCAAACATTTGGGTCACGAGAGTGCTTAGTTTGTCGAAAGGAATACAGCTTGCCTGGTCCAGATGTAAACAAATCCGAGCACCGTGCAACTGCTCCACCAAGGCTGTCGGATACGAACAACAGAGTCTGAATCCATCGACCGCGCTGGGGATATACAACCCGGTCCATTATCGCAAAACATACCGACTAGTTGAACAATGAACAACGGATATGACTGTTTTGCATACACGCACATTTCAGCACTATCACATTTTACAACATTTTGATAACATTCTCTTTTCCTTTGTAAATCCATGCGTGTAACGGATGACATATATTGTGTTGTTATAGCATGAACTGAAGACATGCTTGTTTCACTTATGTTTGACTTGTGTCTTGAGCATGTGTTCTGTGCGATTGTTTGAACAAATACGGTATTACCGTAAGTGGCCTATCTATATTATTTCCACAGTGAATCATAATCCAGCCAAAGCCGTTCCGGACCCTATAACTGTCTTATTTATGCACCGTATGAGATAAGTTTCAACCTAAAGTTTTAGTTCTTCAGATACATTTTTCTTACAAATGAAAACGGCATAGGTCCTAAGTGAGAAAATGAAATGATTTTGAACTGTTTTTGGAATGTTCGAGGGAATTTAGGTACCTGTAGGTTCTGATCGTTTTGACCTCGGAAAACATCAGGCTTCCATTGCAGGTAAAACTGGAAGATATATTGTCTCATTTACCTTATTTTATGTTCCGTTTTCGTGATTTATTTTGAAATACGATATACCATTTTGGAGTTTTTTGGCCAAAACTAGGAAGATAAGGCCATCGTTTTCTTAGCAACTAATAATCAGCTCTTGATATTAGGCTGTCATGTTACCGCCAATATATGATGAAACACCGGGGACGAGGTTGTTCGTTGATTTGTTTTTCCTCCAGACGGGTGGTAAATTTACACGACCGCAAATGTTTATTACAAATTTTACCGTCTTTGAGCAATTTAAAACACTGGTGACCGATCGCTAGTCATAAGGAACGTTTCGTATTTCCGAAGTAACTTGAAATGCGTCAAGAAGTTGACATACACCATGTATTCTAAATGGACTTGAGGTGGCAGTTATTTCGATTATTGCATCTGCATTTTGAATAAGTGGCATGCATTATAAGCTAAATTCCGGAATTTTCTGTTATGCCTTTTCTGATTGATATAACCGCAGTATAAACTGAATCTTTTCGGTGGGAGAGATGTCAGGTTAGCATAGCATGGTTTGATTCAAATGACATTTCGTTTCACGCATAAACGCTTCCATTTTGTCAAATTTAGACACCAGGAAAATGTTTAACTGCTCTCAGGACGTACCAATCACTCGTCGCTGACAAACTCAAGAGTGTTATGGATATGTTATGCCTGTATGTTAGTCGTACTTTGGTCGATTGTCACCACGACGTCCCACTCACTGTGCATACCTTAGAACTGGGTAACGCTACCAGTCATCAGTCCACCGGAAAAGTTCATTATCTTGATGAATTTAGCGTCTAATTCATGAATATAATAAACGACTAAAGCTTTTACGGGCAAGGGCATTCTCGACTCATTGCTGAAAGCTTACCCACTCCGGTTGCTCTATGACGTCTTTGTGCGGGCATTCGTGTGCTGTGATGTATAAACTTTAGTTATTATGCTGGCTCCTAGACGAACATGGCTGTCAAAGGATATCCAATGACAATTTTTCTAACCGTGTATCAAGTTTGAACAGGATGAAATTGATGAATCAATTGAATCCTCAAATACAGCACTGGTTGCTTCTGATCTGTACTGCATGTCCAAGTGAACGTTTTGGACGATAGGCGGAGTGGTGCACCCAACTGCAATGCGCAGTTGAAATCACACTGCATCTATTGTACCTTCCAATGAGCCCAGTGTTACCCTAGAACGATACGAGCGGGTTCCTACCCAAAAAATAACGGGGTCAGTACCGTGTATATTTCACCGTAATTGACTTTCATTGGAATTGCCCGAATATACCATCAATGCCCAATATGAGAGAACACAAAGTTGCGAACAAGCTTGTTTACGGTGATTCTTCTACAGGCTAATACCTCACAATTTATATCATTGAAATGCTTTAAAAATTCAGTTTCAAATTTGGATGTCATTTTGTGAATGAATTTGACACCTTTTATTTTCCAAATTACTAACCCAATTCAAAACTATTGATTGTAAACTTTCCTGTTATTTGTTCCACCCAATCAATTATGTAGTATTCCGCTGAACGGAGAGATGGAGTATATCAAAGCCTTGTGGATAAAATGGAGGCTTTTCGATACAAGCTAAAGACTGAAATGAGCATATTACGTGTTCAAAATCAGGTAAATAATTTTAAACCACCCATACCCACATGTGTATATAAAGTTTTCACACGTGGTAAGTGTGACCGACGCCTATTTCAGGTTGATATTTTATGTAAATCCTAGCCATACTCGTCTTTAACTGTGCATTTTTGACGCAGAGTGTGAATGTTCACGATGACGATTTTTTACTGATGAATCAATCAGTTTAAATCGAGTGTAGCAACATAACCTGCATTTTACAGATTTATGATGGGTGACTTTATTCACCTTAATTTTTGTTGAATCGGTTATAACTTTCTTGAAAGGTTTTGCTAGTAAAACGACACAAAACAACAAAAGAAAATGTTTACATTTCCCCTGGTTGTTTTAAAAAATAAAATCAGTTCCTCTTAGGATTTAAAGATTTTAGTTTAAGTACCAATTCCATTCGTGGAAAAAATATTTCGATACTTGCGATTTGATCTCCTACTTACTGCTGCACACTGTTCCACACGGGTCGGGAGATTAGGTTTTACATTTTTTAATGAAAAGATGACATGAGGACGAAGCATCACAGTTTAATGAATATAGCTTCTTACCGACCGGATAAATGGCAAATAACAGCAGGTGTTCTAATTTATCAAGGGTGACTTAATCTCTTCCAGTTGAACATGAAATTCAGGGATTAATGTCGTGACTATCTTCACAAGAACTTTGTTTCTCTACTATAGTGTTTGTGAGTAGTGTAGTCTATCTATTGAAAAAAAACATGCATGTTAGCTATTCGGTTTTTCCAATTATTTGACGTTACTTGGATGTGGCAACAATTTGTACATTGAAATAATCTTCCACAATAAGCGAAAATTGAACGCACGGGGAAGATGCGGATAAAGACGTGGTCCCTCCTACGGCGTTGTAACTAAAATATGGTTAAATAACCAGATCGGTAAACACTTTCCGAATTGCGTTTGGTTGGAGTTTTCTATACCTGTTTTCGTGGAGCGGGATGGACATAAGCACTGTTAGCACAAAGCTCCTACTTCGACAATCTTCGAATGATGTAATATTGTTGATCGGGATAAAGTGATTGCAGTCAGTAGTAGGACGAACCCTGTTTGGGCCAACAAAAGGAACTGTTTTTAAACTTATCTTGGTAACCTTTTCAGACGTTTGTTTTGACGAGGTTGGGCATATATAAAGTGTAATTCTGAGCACTTGGTAAAGACACAGAGAAGTTGTTGCGGAATACTACGCTGCCTCTTCAGGTGAGTATCTTCGACCAAAATCTGGGCGCATTTGTCAGTCGAGATTTTTCGTGACGTTCTTTTTCTTTCTCGACATACTTAAGCGGTACATGTACTGCCACTGGTGCAGTTCAGTTGTATTTGAGACTAATTCACCAAGTAAACTTACTTACTCTGCTTATTTTTATAACCAAAAAGATATAGCAACAGAATGATATATGTTTCGGCTGAAGTCAAGTAATGTTCGCTATTTATGTGTTTTGTGACTAATTTCTCTCTTAAGGCGAAAGATGAAATAACGAGATTTGGGTGTGAACTAAATTGTCGTTCCACTTGATTTGAAAAATTTTAAGTTTGCAATAATCCTTTACTGGCGTATTTTGTTGTTCATTTCCAATCAAATTTGCTGCTATTTTACACCTCTGACTTAGGATGAATTGAAGCAGCTAACAAATTCTATCGCCGGCTTGGAATCCAAACTGAATTCATTGAATCAAGGGACCGGGGAACAATCAGTGGAATTGGAACGAGTTCTGGCCGCCGAGATTAAAATCAGGTGGGTACGGAGTAGTGTGAGGTGTCCGCACACGATCCGGTTAGCTAAACACCAATCTGGTGTTTTGATTAAGCGGTTAGCGGTAGAAGGTGAACACATGCAAGGCATTGTCACATGATTCTCCTAACCGTTGTTTTTATATGTTGAAGTTGATATTTCTAGAAAAATGTCTGTACACAAAGTAGTTTTATGTTGCATATTTCTTTCACTTACCTTATTGCATCGATATTTTCGGCCTTATATGTTATGGAGATGACGATTGCGAGCACCTAAGTGATTCTAAGAGGGTGGCTGAGTCTTAAGTTCAGGAGGGCTTGCTCACATGCGTGTGTAGTAATCATTAAACTTTTGTGCTTCACCAGATATTCCAGAATCGATTTTATTGTAAGTCGCTGTTTGCACGAATTCTATTGAAACACCTCTCACGAAGAGACTGTCTATCATCGAGAGACTTTACCTTAACGTGGTATGGTGATTTATGCACCCCTGTGATTCAAAGATTCACATACGATGAGTTTAACAAGCCATGATATCCCATCATACCCGGAAGATATGAGGGTAGAGTTTAGACCAAAATCAGTCATCCCGTTCTCTATATTGAGGGTTCTAATCGCTTTAGCGTCAAAGTCTGTGAATGGTGGAGGAATAATCGATCCAAATAAATAGGTCTCTTCTTTGCCTTACCCGCTGATTACCGGTTATGTTCTTGTCAGAACTGAATGCTCGTCGTTATTCTGCCCAGTGGATGGACATCCTGGCACTACTCGTCCAACGGATTCAAACGCATACACAAAATTAACTATATCCCATACTGCATCGGTTGTCACGCAGGATTATCAGGACCGCGCTGACTATTGCATCGGGCGGGTTGAGTAATGATAAGCCCACATCTCAACCTTTGTTTAACTCTTTGTCTTCTATATTCAACCCCCTCCCTTACTCATTCTTCTAAGTCGTAACATCTTATCAGTCAACCTGTTTGTCACTTGCCAAAGGTCGTTGCCCAGTGCCACTGTAAGTGTTATAACTCCACAAGACGATGCTGGTCAAGGGTATTCTTTATTGGGGATTTCAGATGGGATTTCACCAATTTGCCATACGTAACACAAAGTATCTCATCAGAAACATAGCATCGCCGTTAGTGATGGCACATCCAATAATGCATAGAACAGTCGGTAGTTATTCTTTCAGATATCACTTGGCCTTCGGTGGTCTTGTTATATTTTTGATCATTGAAAGTTACCTGCTACTCATAAGTGAGTAGTATCTCACAACACTCCTCCCCCGGTAAAAAGGAACTCTGCATGCAGCGGACAATGAGTTCTTTCTTCCGAGAGTTCGAACGGGTCCGTAGTTGGTTGACAGTTTCTTGTGGCTTCGTGATCAATTTCTGGTGATCCAGCCAGTCGGTTGATTTCTGACGACTCTTCGGCGTACGGCTGTGGTCCCGGCGCCACCGATCGCGTTCACTTTGATACACGCCTCTGTCGTCAATTATCTCCTGCAAGATGTTCATTTGGATCGTTCTTAGCCGGATTCTACATGAACTTAGCCATCTAGGGAGTAACTTCGCTGCTTCAGGGTCACCGACACGGCCTTCGACATGGTGCTTGTACTCTGACTCCAGCCTCTGCAGAAGTGCGTTTGGTTTCTATTTCACCGACAATCTTGAATTGTTTCTGGTTTTGTTTTTTGGTCTGGCCAAAGTTTCCTTATCCGTCACGTTCTCGATAGAGAGCGTTCGGTTTGCTGTGCTGTAAACTTGCAGCTCGTGTTCGCCAACCGTCTTCTCTACCGTATTCGAGGCTTCTACTGACTCAGTTGACTGAGGTTCGCCATATACACAGCAGTGGCTGTTTCAAACAAACTTGGCACTTTCTGATCCCCCATCTCTATATGGGTGTAGACTGAACAACGATCATTCGTTCCGCAGGGAGCCTTGTTCGAGTACAACAATTTGAATGAAATCAGGGGTTCTCTCAAGAACCACTTGCGCTGTGTTTCGGGGTAATTTTTCGGCCAGAACTCTCGGTCTTCGAGCTCAAAATCCGCATTTTTGAGAGCTCTCTGGTTGAACTCGGTTCGGATCGTTCCAACCTCCGTTAACTTTTGAGAGCTGCTGTACTTCCAATAGGCTGGCGTCCAGGATCTTCGGTTGACTGGACAGGAGTGAATTTCTTCCAGGTGAATTCCGTCAGGACATCCGCCAGTTTGAATGCAGCCATAGTTTTCTCAGCAATAATTATCCATGCCTTCTCCCTCAAGTTCTCTGACAGGCTCTCCATGAAGCGATCAAGCAGTAAAACGCAATGTGCGGCATCATCCAACGTTAGGAGCGCACGATTCAACAGGGCTCGCAGGGCCGCGGCATCTGCTAAAGGGGCCACGCCAA